TCTGTGCATGATTCCTCGAGGATGGGGGAGGGTAGGGAAGGCTGAGGGGGCTCCACGCAGGGAAGTCTGTTCTTCCTGAGCTTCTTAGGAGCAGGCTTAGGTTTTTTCTTGGGGCCTGGGTTGTGCGCTCGAGATCTTTGCGAAGAGGGCAACTTGTGCTTACCAGACGACTTTGCTTTCTCAATAGTGTCCTTAGCTGGTAGCATAGACGTAGAGTCAGAGGTAGACTGGCCCGCTGGAAGCCTATCGGCTGAGAGAGCAGGAGATCTAGCAGCCTCCGAAGAAGTAGGAGGAGGATTCATGGCCGTTTTCCAAAGGTAAGACCAAAGTCTTTGGAGCCTCTGCTTAAGTGCCGGCTTGGTTAGGTTTTTACAAGCGGGGCACGAATGGGTTGGATGTTCCTCACCCAGGCAAAAAAGGCACTGGCTATGATCGTCGGAAAATGCAATTTTATTCGCACAAGTAGTACAACGTTTGAAAGGAGATGGCGAGGCCATAAGCAAAAGACTAGTGGTGGGGAAAGGGAAGGGGGAAGGGGGAAAAGGAAGGGAATAAAAATGGCAGGAAGCTGATTAGGCAAACAAAAAGACACGGAGGATCACTAAATAGGCAATTAAAGTAAAGATAAGCAAACAAAAGCTCAAAAGAGCCTAGAAAAATAGCCAGAAGGCAAAAAGCGAAGCGCTCAATCTTTCCTGAGAAACGTTCAGCTCAGCGGAAAAAAGGAACTGGGGAAGATGGTGGGTGGGAGGAGCATATACCTCGTGGAGGATCACACCATAAAATTGTTACTTTTAGCTCTAGAATCTTCCAAGAGAGTCAGTGCAGGCGCAGACAATACCCATATGTGTCCATTCACAGAGGCCACGAAAAAGAACCACTCCTTAAATATCTCACTTACCTGGGAAGCCCTATTAGGGTCACTAAAGTTTGGTTCCAACTTGACAGCACAGAATACACACAAGTGTTCCACACATCAGAAACCTCTGCCTTTAGGGACAGGCAGCCGTGGTCTGACTCTTAAGTACACGAGCAATGTCTGGAGAAGTCACTATTTATCTAACTGATGTGCCACGTTAACTAGTCAAAATTGAAATAAATTTGTTCTTCCAATGTTCAACATGCTTTCCTGTCTACTGAGAGGCATTTCTCACTTGCCATAAGTAACGTTGGCAACTAGCCATTTACAATCCCGCACGTAAAATACAGCCACAAGTGCAATCAGCTAAAATCTAGAACAATTTTCCTTCCTTCCAACCCACTAAACCGGGAAACAGACTGACAGAAACTCTCCTATACAATACAGGCAGCTGTTCTCTGTAGCTAGTCCCAGTATGACTCATAAATGCAGTGTTGAATTATTCATTAGAATTTATTCTGTTTTTTTATGGGGAGTCAAGTTGGTTTTATCTTCATAATGACAATGGTCTCTACTGTGAATAACCATATCCAAATGCTCGGACAGTCCCTATTTACTAGAGAAAGTTTCAATTTGCTCATACCTATCAGGAGGAGATTACTGCCACTGAGATCCTGACAGAATCATGTCTTTCCAATGTGCTTTCAGATCTAACCACAGGCTATCTAGAATGTCTGTTTCTGCCAGGGAGTCATCATTCTTTAAGATTCAGTTCTCTCTCCTCTGTGTCCAGAATGGAATAGTATAGAGACAGGCTTTTCCCCAGGTGAGAAGGAGGAAGTGAGAGCTGTGACACAGTTTAATGTATATGCCTGTTAATGTGTAGACATGAACATTACTGCACAAGGCAGCGTGCAATCAGCTGTTTTATTCAGTCAATAGCTCATTATAAGACAGAGATGTATTTCAAGCACATATTTAATTAGAAAATAGCCACCTCCGTTTGCTTTTAAACGAATACAGATTAAGCTGTTGCAACTAAAAAATAAAGCAAAGCCTTTGGGGCATGTGTTTGCAGACAGCATTACTGAGACTACTGCGTTTTGCATAAACAACAACTACCAAATCGGAAATAAAATTGCACAACTGTGCTGCCTTTATACAAATCTAGGCAGCCACCATGCTTGGAATACTGTGCACAATTCTAGTCCTCATGCACAGGATATTGTTAAAAAGGAAAGGCACAGAAAAGAGCAAAATAAAATGACCAATGTACTGGAACAAGTCCATTATGAGGAAAAGTTACTCAGTTTGAGGCAGTTCAGCTTAGGAAAAAAAGGCAAGTTAACAGGAAGATATGCTCCATGCCAGGATGCTAGCTGACATGTGAGGAAATCCCTACGCATTTCCAGGTCTCCAGGGAGGAAAACTTATTTCAGGGCAGGCAGCAAAAGAGAAGAAGAAAACTGCCTTTTTGTGTATTAAATGGCTTTTAAACTGGTGCCAGGATGTGTTGGCTTACTGTAAAGGGTCTGCCTGTGTGTTCCTCCAAATGGTATAATGGGCCCAAGTGCACTTCTCCAGCATCTCTCTCTCTCTCCCTTTGCTCCCGGCTTGTTGGCATGCTAATGCTACAGTCATAGTGCCATCTGAACAAGATGTGCAGGAGAACATTAGCACCACAATTCATAAGCCTTCTTGTTGCACAAAGTCTATAAACAAAATGATTTTACTTAATTAATTAATTAATTAATTCACTCATTCATTCATTCCATTCCTATCCTGTTTTTTGTTGTTGAGGGATTCAAGGCAACACAGGACTCCAAATCTGCAAGTATTCATTACAAGCTTATATAAATCCCTCTTCTCCAGAAGAAGAGTGTGTGTGTGTGTGTGTGTGTGTGTGTGCGTGCGTGCGTGTGTGCGTGCGTGCGTGCGTGCGTGCGTGCGTGCGTGCGTGCGTGCGCGCATGTGCACATGTATGGAATGTTCTTTTGATGAACTAAATTTTTGTTTAGAGGAGCATCATGACAAAAGTTGTATATTTAGAAGTGGCAGGAAAAGTTCTGAAAACATTGGGCTGCCTTCATGTATGTGCATAATTTTGTTTAAAGGTAAAGGTTCCCCTTGACAATTTTTGTCCAGTCGTGCTCGACTCTGGGGGGCGGTGCTCATCCCTGTTTCCAAGCCATAGAGTCAGCGTTTTTTGTCCGAAGACAATCTTCCGTGGTCACGTGGCCAGTGCGACTTAGACACGGAATGCTGCTACCTCCCACCGAGGGGGTCCCTATTGATCGACTTGCATTTGCATGCTTTCGAACCACTAGGTTGGTGGGAGCTGGGACAAGCAACGGGCACTCACTCCGTCGCATGGATTCGATCTTACGACTGCTGGTCTTCTGACCCTGCAGCACAGAGGCTTCTGCGGTTTAGCCCACAGCGCCACCACGTCCCTATAATTTTGTTTACATATGACTAAATCCATAGTCCTACTGACCCTTGTGAATAAGTATGAATGAGACTGAACTGCAAGGTTAATAAGAATTTTAATCCTTTTAACTGGGAAAACTACAAATGGTCTTAAAGCTTTTACAAGCTAGAAAATGAACTCCCATCTTTTTTTTTTCATGTTTCATCAATAAACCAGATATTGTTATTTCCATTAAGATGCCATGGGTCCTCCTTTCACATTTATTTTAAAAGTGAAGTAATTCCTTTTCTGACATGTTTTCTGTTCATTCTATGAAGTGCATGTAAGCCAAACCAAATCTAAAGTAAAGCATTCAAATCCACACTTCCTATCCTGTGAATCAAAATGAAAAGCTTGCTGAAATTTGGAGGCCCAGATTTTTTAATAAAAGCATACAGAAACATCGATACAGCTGCGGATTTTATGTCTAAAACAAAGCATAAGTGTGGATGTCAAAGCTCACACTTTGGAAGGGAAACATTTGTACCGGAAGCATTTATCCCAATAACACTAGCTGAAGTGTAAAATTTAGTGCATATGTAAGCTTCTGGATTTTCTTGCTGGCTTTTCTTGAATTTTCTTTTTCTATGAAATGTTATTAAGCTTAAAGGCTGAATGGACTGACCAGATTCTAGCCGTAGCAGGAAATCAGTAATGCTGGCAATTCTATTTCCAATGAAGAATTTATGGACCTGGCAACTGATTTTTACCTTCCTTAGCTGCTGGAAAATATGCATTGAGATCTCAGAGTCCACCAGAGGCTCCAAATAAACAGAATGTACAACACTGGGCACTGGAACTGGTGGAAAACATGAAGCCCTTCACACAGACCTGGTATATGCATGTCTTTCTGTCTTGCCTAGTCCCAGTGATCCAAGAGGTAGTAAAAGAAAGATTACATATGTCACACCACAACACTCACCATGAAGGGGAAGGGCCAAAAGAAAAAAGGGGTGCTGAGGCAATGCCAGCAGCTTTCTCCATGTCGCTGTTGCTCACCTACACAGGAGGTCCCCAGGTCTAAAACATTACTCACAGAGACAGCTAAGAAGTGGTCGGGGCATGAAGAAAGCCGGGAGCTGTGGTCAACACAAGCAGCAAAGCTTTACCATTCCCAGTATTCTTTCACCTGAAGTGACAAACTCTGTCTGTCTAACAGACTAACTAGCCCCGCCAGTCTCCTTCCTGCTGTCCTGCTAACTCCAAGGTCATGGCATCCATCTCTAGTAGCAGACCTTAGGAATTCTAGTTCAGGCAGTTCAAATTTCAGGTCCATCTACCATCATATAATCATGTGCTTTCATGGCTGCTTTTTTCAAGGCACATCGGAATTTTATTGTGCGAGTCAGTCACAAGCGATCTGGCTGTTGTGGCCTGTGGCTGCAAAAAAACAAAAAACAAAAAAGTGCCCTAAAAAATGATACCAGGCTAACACCATGTTGTGTGAAAGCACCCAAACACTGTGTTGCCCTTCTTTCCTTCCAAATTTTGAGAGAGCTGAAAACTTACTTGGAAAATATCTTTCACTTTTATAGGTTTGCAGCCAATGCTGCACAGAGTGATTCACAATCTCTCTTTTTGGCACACTGGCAGGGCGAAGACGCACATTTCCCACCAATTTATGAAGGGAACAGCTGCCCACTGGGTGTAATACAATGACAGCCAACCTACCTTTTTCCCATCCATATTATCTCCACCAATGCAGGACAATTTTCTGCGGACATAGAACAGCATGTCATCCTGTCGGGAGGCCAATTTCTCCATAAAGTAAGTGGAAAACATCCATGTCCAGAAGACAATACGGTCATCTTTGAAACATCCTAAAAGAAGACAGAAGTAGACATTAAGATTAATTGAAATCATGCTGCATGAGTTTAAAAAACAGTGAGATTTTTTAAAAATTAGGTAAGACATGTTTATTTAAAGACAAACACCTTTGTTTAATGACCAACTGCAGCACTTGCACAATTCTTTTCTAACAAGATCATGTTAAGCCAAGGCGTATCTCACATTTTGGGACAGCCAGGTTTAGACCAGCACTTTGCCAATGAATGGAGTAGGTGGTTGTAATGCCAAATATATTAACAAAGTAATACAGTGATAAACAATTTAAGAAAGAACTTAAAAAAATAAAAGGAACAATGGCAGTGCCCATTACTCAACATCCACATAGGCACAAAATAAAATAGGAGCAGCATTCAGATCCACAAAACCATATTGAACTGAATTGATTTTAGAAGTGCGGTATTTTAAAAAGCCCCTGCCAGCCGATTGAAAGCAACTTGCTTTGTAGCCCATATATATCGATTTCACTTTTATGCTTTGTGAATGATGAAATCTAAATTGATTTAAATTACACTTAAATGTGGTTTATATTGCCAGTGTGACCACAGCCTTAAGCAGCCAGTCATGAAGATAAAGCTTGCCAGAAGGGAATGATATTTGCAGGACAGCAACAACGGGGGCTTGTCACTCACTTTCTGCAACAGGGATGGCACATGGAAATAGCCTTGCTTCCAGAACTACCTTTACACATAATCCATATCTGCCTACATATCTTCTGTGCTAATCCAAGAGCATTTACCAATAGGCTTTTGAAGAGGGAGAAAGAAACAGCAATGGCATTTAAGAACACATTTGAGACCAGTGTGGTTGATCGCCAAAATGAATATATATATGTGATCGATAGTTGTTCATTTTCAGCATCCCCCCTAAGGTAAACATCTAAACTGTGTACAGTATACCAATTTAATACGCAGCTTCACTGTATGCCTGTCCTTTAACTGGATTTAAATGACATAGGCATGCTGATTTGAAGGGTTAGAGGAAGCTGAGAAGAATGTATAGTTGCTTCTTTACTGTACAGCAGAACAGAGGGTGAGGTATTCCCTAATCTAGGTCTTTGAAAAATTATGCAGGCTTAATTGGAGCAGCTGTTGTGTTCACAACAGAGGCCAGATCCCCTCTGCTGTAAAATTAATGAAGATTCTCCAGCACCACCAGATGGACAACTTTGCCTTTAAGTGTTATCTGTCTTTGCTCAGATGTTCTTGTCCTGTTGCCATATAAAAACGTAGGAGGGGAGAAGAGGGTGCCAAAAAAGCTAACTGTCATTAGAAGGGCACCTTATTAAGATCATTTGAAATGTAGCTTCTCCCACTGCTTACTACTGTGTGGGGCTTAGATTTGTCCCTCACAGGTGACAGATTTAGGGTTCGATGCCAAAGGAGTTTGGCAGGAGCTTTCACAAAACAAATCATTTAATCATTGCTCAGAGTGTTTGAAATACACATCTAAATTAAATAGCTCTTTCTTAACCACCCTACATGGATCCAAAAATTGTGCAACTGAAGGAAAGAAAGGTCTAAAACTCAACACTCCTTCTGCCATGTAAGCCGTTATAAAGGGGAAGTAAATCATTGGAAGATGATGATCTTAAGAGCAGTATAATGCCCCCAAATGTGAAGCAAAACCAGCACAACTGCCCCTGCTTTTTCTCCCTTGGCAAGAAAACCATAATCTACTGTACAGGATCAGGTAATAAAGTTTCTTTTTCTTCAAGGCCAACGGTTGGAAAAATACAGCAGGATGGAGAACACATCCGAGTGCTCCTCCCTTGAGGCAGGAGACATTTCCTCCACGGCAAGCTTTCTATATCCAGGGTATTTTCCTTCCATTGCATACTATATGAACTAAATAATTGCAATACAAAAACAAAACTATGTAGAACTTCAGAGAGTTTGAAGTACTTCATATATCCTGCCTCACCCCCCCATCCTTTATATTGAAGATAGAGAGCCAGGGCTGAGACAAGAGTACCTTCTCTCATTAACTTATGGCTCCACTGGAAGCCTCTTGATACACAGACTAGTCCCTCAGTGACCATACTATACTAACTCAATAAAGAGCAAATGCCCAGGGAATCAGACCCAAGGACTGAAAATTAGATATTACGCCCCACAAAAAAACAGAGTAGCTTGATACAAAATGCAGCCCACACATAACCCTTCATTATTTATCTCTTGGTGCTTTGGACATACAAACATTGTTCTGACATTTGTCTGTAAGAAAATTATCCACTGCTACCAAGTCTGCATTGGGGAGTGGGGTGCTTACCCATGAGGAGAACCACATGGCACCCATCTTATGCAAGCCCTGCAATAACAGCTTGGAAATTTATTTTGGATACAGTTCCAAAAATCCCAAAACCAGTTTATCCATGGGAATTCTGGGAATTATACTTCCAAAAATAAGTTTCCAAGCTTCCCATCACTGCTTCTGCCTCTTGAAGTGCTTTTCATCATTGCAATAATTTCAGGCAACATCCAATTGTTTATTGCTGCAAGCTTTATTCCTACATTGTTTCTATGTTTAAAAAACAGTTATAGAAAATATGTACTGTATCTTTCTCAGAAACCACTGCTACATTGCTTAAAAAAGCAGCCTTACAGCTATGAACAAAGCTGCAGATAGACCTGGGCTATTTGTATTCATATCCCTGGGGATAAGAGTATGAATATCAGTACCACAGGTTCCATGGAGATCCAGCCCTCTCCCCCAAGCCTGCTGGTCCAACTCACCGGCTGTTGCATCATCCAGCATAATCCACATTATTGCACCAATCGTGGAAGCAGCCCAGCCATCACTTCCCCGCCTCCTTGAGCAGCTAATTGCTCAATGGCTGAGCAGGAAGACTCTTCATCCTGCCTCCTTGCCAGAGTAGTTTGCTGTGCGCGGAGGCAGGGAAGCACTGGACAGGTAGTTTCCGCAACTGATGTGACAACACAGTTGATGGCCATGCGTGGTGACTGGTGAGCGGAGTAGTCAGTTTGTGGGGGAGAAGGGTTGGATCTTTGTGGCACCTCTTGTGCTGATATTTGTATTTGTATCCCTGTGGATATGAATACAAATAGCACATGTCTAGGAGAAATGCTTAAACATATGAAAATTGAACTTGATTTGTATTTGAATATAAAATATAGGAGTATTAAAATACAGAAACTAAATACTGTATAGTTAAATATAATAAGTGCATAAGTACAATGAAATATCAAAAATAATATTTTAGATTACATTCTTAAAGTACAAAACCTTATAGCCTATAGAGGCAACTTTAAAGAGCAAAAGACAGAGAATACATCTCTTAAAATGTTAAAGTTATTGAAAGTAAAATTAATTAATCACTGCTCTAGCATACTTGAGACCCTCTAGTTTGTTACACACTGCCTTCATCTCTACCTTGCTCAACTCTCCCCACACTTGGGAACACAGAGTCTGAGAAGTAGTTTTCTCCATCAACTGATTCGTAAGCCTTTTATTTCACCTTCTCCTTCATTAATTCCAAGCATAACCACTCATTGGTTCTGAGATGGTTCATTGCCATAACAGGGACGTGGTGGCGCTGCGGGCTAAACCGCAGGAAGCCTGTGCTGCAGGGTCCCAGCTCCCACCAACCTAGCGGTTCGAAAGCATGCAAATGCAAGTAGATAAATAGGGACCACCTCGGTGGGAAGGTAACAGCGTTCCGTGTCTAAGTCGCACTGGCCATGTGACCATGGAAGATTGTCTTCGGACAAAACGCTGGCTCTATGGCTTGGAAACGGGGATGAGCACCGCCCCTAGAGTCTAACACGACTAGACAAAAATTGTCAAGGGGAACCTTTACCTTTACCATTGCCATAACACTGCAATATTGCTATTAATATCACAACAAATGCACCCTCTCCATGGCAAAAAAAGCACACACAATTTGGAAAGGGCATCTTTTATGAAGCACAGAAAATGAGAACAAATACAGATATCACAAGTACCAGCATGCACTGCACTTTAACTCTCTCCTTTCCAGTGTATCACATGACATATAAACATTTTCTACCATCTTATTCTATCTCAGCAAAAATGCAAATTGATATTTTCACAATTTTAAAACTACGGGTGGCTCAGCAAATGAATTGTGAAAAGAGCCCCACTGTCTTATGCTATTGGGTAGGGCTGGTCCAAGATATTTCGCTCCTTGTAACAGAATATCAAAGCCCACCCCAACCCCACCCCTGGGTCATTGTACACAGCACCCAAGACCAGAGGAGTAATTTTGACACTGAGGAAAAATTCCCCAAAGTTCACAAAACTGTGCCTTTCTTTATTTCTTGGGCACTAAAAATGCAATAATAACCATTTGCCACCTTTTCATGTCACTCATAATTTTCTGCCTGAAAAGCAGCCTTACTCTGCCCAGTGGCGAGCCAATCATGTTACTAGGAACGAAAGTCGTGACCTGCTGTGGATGAAACCGAAGGCCATCCAAGGGGCTACATGCAGTCAACTTCCAAGAGCAGCCATCCAGATATTTTTGTAAATATTCTGAACAAGGAACAACACAACCACTTTGTGTTTTTTGTCCCTAGCACCTGCTACACCAAAATATGCACTGCTGAACATGGTGCATCTTTTAAAGTAATTGTAGACACATATTTCATGAAATTTCCCTAGTTGCTTTTCAAAACCATCTGAGCTAATGACACATCTTGAAGATAATTATGCATCGAGGTGTTTTTTTTTTCTTGGCCTAATTCATTGCCATTCAGAGTCTTAAATGGAATGGCTGAGAGAACACCTTGATCAGAGAGATTAGAAGAATTTACCATGGTGAGCCCCTGGAAATGAGCACTAACAAACTAGAGGCCAAAACCATAGTTTAGCAGAATAGTTTCATCCATAACGGGCACATAATGGGGAGCTATAGTTTATTTAAAACCTTACATGGAAGCTTTTGGTCTCCTCCTTTCATATGCAGAAGTGGAGGACTGGTAGGTGAGCATGT